AAGGAGAAAGGGAAGAGGCAAGAACATCTTGCCACATGGATGCCACCGGCCTGAAGGGTGGCAAGCCCGTCCACAAAGAGGGGAAGCCGATATGTTTCAATAACGATTTGAACAATTGTACAGCCGCGGAGCCAGGTCGAGAGTCTCAAGATCAAGTTCACTGACAGGTCTTTTAGTAAACTTTATATCGATCCCAAAGGAGGATTCTAGGCCATAACAAGTCACTCCAGCGAAACCTGAAATTATCTCAATTACAAGCGCGTCACTCAATGGCTTTCCATGTGCCGCAAGTCAGTTGGCCTTCCCTAGCTCTGCAAATCGATGCGCCTCAAAGCACTTGCAACATATGCGGCGTCCTCGCGAACACGCCTCAAGGCGCAGCTCTGTTGATGCAGTTCTTGACGGGCCCAAGAGTTGCGGGGGTCTGGAATGTGGCGCCAGCTCGAGGGCTAGGGAGATCGACAACGGAGCCCTCCGCTGCGTTCAGGTTCTTGGCCTGACGGGCTAGGTCTTGGGGACCGCGCGCGCGTGTTTTCGGCAAACAAGGTTTATGCATTGACAGCGCAGGTGGCCGTTTTTCGCCAAGACAATGGGCGGTTCTTTGTCGTCGAAAAACTGGCCAGGAGAATTATTTTCTGATCGACTTTTTGACCACACCAATCCAATCCATGAGATGCCTTTCGAATTTGTACTTTCAATGTCACGTTGCAAGTGCATATGGTAGTAAGAGGCTTGCGTTTAAGCATGAAGCGTTAACAGGACAGCGCGTCCATGCACGATGGGGCAAGCAGATGTTAAACAATCGGGTAGTCTTTGCCACCCACGAAGAACGGGAATATCCTCCAGGCTTTTGCTCTGCAATAGCTCAGGTGATTTTGCAGATCTGCCAGGAAAATGGACTCACGCTGCCACCTTCATCCATGGAGGTCGCAGCGCAAGAGCAACATCAGTTGGTGCAGCAAGCCAAGGTCTTGTCGCACGCTTTCGTTCGCACTAATTGCCTTCTTTAGTGTCAGAATACGCTCAAGTGATCTCGGCGTGGCGTGCGCCGACTTGACAGCGCCTTTCAGGCAGTACACCCAGATTGAAATTTTTGCTAAAGATGACAAGAAATCTTGACATCCAAATCCTTCCATTTGCACGACTCTTGCAGCGCCCTTTGCTTAAAGGGGGTGGCTCTGGTGAACCCGATGTGTGGGGGGGTGCATTGGTCAGAAGATGAGAGTTCACGTCTGAGGCTTTAAACTGAGCCTGATGTGTGTGTCGAACCAAGCCAGGAGCCTATGGACGAGCCGATCGACCCAGAAGATGAGGAGGACAACCCTTTGGACTCCATTTTCTTGCAGAGGCGGTTTGTAGACAAGCCAAGATGATGTCAACCGAAAGAAAACTGGAGATGTTGACCCCGAAGAGCTTGATCATGCTTTGCAAAGATTCGGAGGTGCCAGAGCGCATGGTAAAGCTTTGTGTTCTGTCAAAACAGACTGTGCCCCGGATGATGACTGGGAGCCAAGAGGGGCCTTACAACATGAAGCCTCTCGTTGTGTTGATGAAAGTGTTATGCAGACCTGGTCAAGGCTATCTTAGACTTGACCAGACGGCGCACTGTTTGGCCACGAGCGGATGTCATACTTGTCCAGCTCAAGGGGTTTCACCCTGCAAGGCTGTGTTGGCGACAAGCAAGGGGTCACGCGGGTGCAGACCACTGTTCAAACCAAGAAGACACAAAGTCTTCCAGTGGTATGCTGTTGGCGCTTGCTTGTTTACTGAAGCACTTCCGGCGCAAGAGCTGTTGAGACCTTGTTTAAGAGAGAAGCCGGGCTAGTTTCTTACCAAGACAACAACCAAGGCAACCGGGCTGTGATTCAAATCACTACAGCAGGATATAGCCCGAAACTTCGTCGCGCGAACAAGACCTTTCGCGTAGACCTAGGTCCTAGTTCAAAGAGTGTGAACTTGCCAAACTTTTGTGCATCAAGACTGCATTGCAGCGCGCTGACCTGTTCACCAAGGCACTGCCTGTTGCAAAGTGGATGGAAGCTCTGAAACAGATGAACATCCATATCGGCCGAAAGCAAGGCGCCCAGAACGAATCTTCCTGAGGTTGCCTTTCGGCCACCATGCCTTTGAAACAATGCAGGTGTTCGACACCGAAAGGGGGAGAAGATTCCCAGGTTTCACCAACCTTCCCCTATGCCTCTAAAGAGGAAGCTAGAAATTGCCGCCGTCCAGAGGCCCCGAGGGTTCAAAACCCAAAATCGAGTTTTACATCCTTGCCCTTGCCGTCACTGTGTTCATTTTGCTGACATGAGCGAACTGGCAACTTTGGCTCAAACGTGTTAAAAAAGGGCGCTTGCCTGCAGGTGGTCTTAGAGCGGGCTGGAACCAATTTCGTTTGCTGACCTCGATAAAGTTGAGGCAGGGCTACTTAGCAAGTGCGGCAGAAAACGGTGCGAGGCATATACAGGTACATTTTTTTAAGCACAGTGTGGATTTGCCAGATCCTTGAGCTGCAGCTTGCATTCTAGAACTTGGGCTTGCATGGGGTGAGGCGGCTTGTTGGTTTGTCAATGGCTTTGGGACTGATGAACTCAAAAAGTGCAAAGTGTCATGTTCAACACAGTGGCGACTTGTCTTTTGAGGTGCTGCTCTTGGCCAGCACCATCTACTTTGTATTGCAAGGAGCGTGTCCTGGATTGCAAGCGCTTGCCATGTGAGAGAGTCCCCCACTGTGGCGCCCAGCAACAAATGGCCCCAGTGGATCTCTCACGGAAAGCGCGTGGCCACTGAATCAAGGCAAAGAAGGTTAGGACAAACGCAAAATAGATTTAACTCTGACAGGAAAAATAACGCAGAAACAAGACGAAGGAACACCTGGACAACCACGGACCTACAAACCTGCGACAGAAAAAGAACCAGGAAACAAAAACATTGGGACTATCCAGGAAAAAACTGTTTAACGTAGTCGAAGAACACGTCGTGAATCAAGTAGGTACCATAGCAGGTGCCCAATGCAAATGCCACCCGAACTCATGCGAGTTCAAACTTCTCCACTCGACTCCAGGATCAGATGACAAGTCTGCGGCTTTTTCCAATGTTGCTGAGTTCAGGGTTCGACAGCTCAGTGTGCAGGTGTGCACGGAAGACAATGACCTGTGTTCTTTTGAACGTTGGTTCTTTGTTGAGGACATCGCCAATCGTGTGAACGGTACTTGGACGTGCGTGGTAACGGTAACTGCCATCATTGTTCAGTTTGAGGATGAGAGACACTCAGTTTTCGGGTCAACTCAGGATGAGAAGAAACTCACCGGCAGAAGAGAGCTTTGGCAAATCAATCACTTGCACGTGCACAACATGCATATTTCCAAGAAAGCTTGAGGAAAAGTATTCATTGGAACAAATTTAGTTGGCACGACCCGTATCTCACTCATCACCTGCCTACATACCTGATGACTTAGCGGTCTCTCTCAGCAGCTCATTTTTGACCGCACCCAACAAGCATGTGGTCAACTCACCATAATGTTGAGTTTGTTCCTGTACGTGATCAGCCCGGACAAAGGGAACACAAGTGCACCAGCAAAATTTAATGCTAAGTAAACCAAGAGTAACTGGGATTATGTGGGCTTTTCCGATGTGGCACTAAGTATTTTCCCTGCCAGATCTGCTGGATGTTTCGGGATTCTACAATTGTTTTGCATATTCTTGAGAATGTCGGGCAAGGCTTGACACGGCTGTGGGAAAGCAATCCTTCCTTCCCTCTGGGTACCACCACCTTTGGCTTCAATTCTACTTACTCCTTCCTTATTGAAGATTTGAAGCGTGAGCTGTGAATATCATCGACTTAGCTAGCTCAAGGCCGATGTCTGAGTCAGGGACGCCCACTCAAGAAAGACTACCAAGTCCTATCGTATTGTAGTATGAGCAGGAGGAACTAGGACCTAGGAACCTTAAGTTTCCCTAAAAATCTAGGAACCAAATCATCAGCACGAGCGCTTCTTCAAGGAAGCTTCCCCCGCCGCCTGACAGGGCGGCGGGTAGTTTCCTTGGAGAAGCGCGAGCTATCCTGCGTCCTGTCGGTAACTACTTAAGCTACTAGCTACCTACCCACCTCCACTCGCGGCCCACCCCCCCCCCGGGCTTAAAAGAAAACAGTATGGTGCTAGATTCGAGTTTGTCTGAAGACTAGCCACAGTTTGTAGAAGGCGCACTCGAGCACTGATTTTGTGTGGGCAACCGGTAAGGAATCACATGCAGGTTGGGGGCAATGGAGTACAGCATTTTAGGATACTGCGGGTGCATCCGCGTGGCCAGTCCTACTCTGCCACAGCTTATTTGATTCACTGTAGGTCAGTCTCTAGCTGTCTAACCACTGCTACAATTGACAAGTGCTTTGCTATGCATAAGAGCAACGCTCGGCATGTGCTGCTTGACGCTGCAAGCCATATCCCTCAGGATGCATTGGCAGCTTCTATGCTGGCTGGATTTTCGTCCTCTCCCACTTTTGCTGAGGAGTTTGCAATTTGGCTTGAATGGCAGAGCTTGGTGAAGCCTTCTCCATTCAGCAGCTCTTTGTTGCCATTGTTGCCAGGAGTCAAAGCCACCGCCTCGGGGCTGGCAGATGAAGCTACCTGAGGTGGGGAATCTTTGTGAGCACATTTCAACGTTGAAGCCAAAGAAAGAGGAACAAGGTCGCAATGTGATATTGCCTCGACCCATATAGTCGTAAGCATGATTTTTGAGTGGAGTGTGCTGGGATAGATTTGCACCCCCAAAATCATAGGATACAGTTTACCAAGCCTTTCTTTTTGCAATTTTCTGGTCATCATTTCTTTACAAGATGGCCCCCTTTGCCAGCTTTATGGATGGTTTCTTTCTTTACTCAACTCAATATTTTGTGCATACAAATATAGTGATTACCCGGGAGGCCCCTCATGCGCGGCGCCAAACTCATTCGCTTGTGCCACAGTAGACGCGTGGAGAGGCATGAGGACAGTTCTTTTTTGTGTAACACCCCGTATGTAAGATTAAAGCACGACCAGCAAGGCAACACTTCACCAGGTCGCTTTCACAAGGCCCAAAGTCATCTTCGTGACAATGACATGCAATGACAATGAACCTCACCACAACCTTTACACACCACCTGACATGCCAAAGCAATCTCATTCACCAAGAATAGCCAACTCTTCGGGTTGCAAGCGAGTTGTCAACATCTTTTGTAACAGGATGCAACATCTTGTATATAGGCTGCAATAGTGAGTTTTAGGCAAATGCTGGGAACACTAGCGGAACCACACAGCTGTCTCCAGACTCTTTGCCAGAGTCAGCGAGAGCTTGGCAAGACCCCTCCCCAGAGTTCTTTGCAGCAGCCTACAGCTTGGACGCCGGCCATCATTTTCACTATATTGTCATTGATATCAGATATCACATGATAGCACTATATTGTCATCCATAGGGATGTATTGCCGAATGACCATGCCGCAGGGGTATGTGGGAGGTCTCACAACACCATTTCGGCCATTTCTGTTACCACAAGAGCGGTCAGCAAGAGCATTGTGATAAACGCCCGCGAACTTTCTGGTGTTGGGCAAGGAGCCCACAAAGTCCCATTGCCAGAGCGTTGGTGATAAGCGAGATACATTTCCCTAAATATTTGAGAGTTTGTAGACTTCGTGAGACCCTTTGTGAGACTCTGGGTTCCCTATCACGTTTCCCTCACATTTTGTTTGCCCAGCCCATTTGCACCTCCACAGCTCCACACTGTTCGTGTTCGGACCAGGTCTCTTCATGCCCTGGATAAGCATTGGGGTGAGTTTGTAGACAATGCAACTGAGTTGGTGTCCTTGCTGCGATGCAAAGATTCGCCCACAGCAAACATAGCAAAAGTGTTTTCTCAAGCTCATCTACTCTAGTGCACGATCCCAAGCAGGAAATTTTCAAGATTGAAACTCGGCTGATGTGCAATTGCCATCTATGGGAAAGGCTCCTTTCAGATGCCAGATGCAACATGCCTTCAGACCTCATTTTGTTTGTTCGCTTGTTGGTTTGCTCTTTGGAATCTTGCTTTCAACTGGATAATGTTGAATTGCCTCTCCCCAGTGCATATCGTGTCTGAAACTGTTGAGTGTCAGACTAGGCTTGATGGCTTGAGTACAGTTGATAGCGGGTTATTAAATTTGTTTCCCATTTTGGATAAAGAGGTATAGCCGATTAGCCAGCTCATTGTGCACATGTTTGGCTGTCTCTTTTCTGCAATCAATGCAATTCGAAGTGTTGCCGTTGCCTCAAGCAGAGCGGTGTCAGAATCAGAAGCGATTTTTTCACCTGCGGGTGCCTTTTACCCCACACGTGCTTCATGGTAATCATTCGTTTGCGTCAGGGCTGGGAAATCTACAAGCAATTCGGTGTACCTGGTGGTGATGAGATGAGGACCAAGGAGTGAATGGAAATGTGTGTGGCTCAGCATGCCAACTCTGAGAGATTTCTGCTGCAGGAGTTGCTTCTGGCAGGTGATTCAAAGGCGCTTTCCATACATATATATATATATACTGTACAGTAGAACTTTTCCACTGTGAAACCATGTCCGACGTAAAATGAACAGTGTGAAATTATGCATTTGTGGAATGTGGACGCACACACACATATATATATATAGATAGATAGATCATATAGATTTACACATTAAAGACATACATACAGAAATAACTAACTAAATACATAAATAAATATATATATATAGATACACTGTGAAATTAAATTGGTAGCGGGCCCTGACCAAGACAGGGACACCTTTCTTAGGAAGCCCTGCTTCTGGATCAAATGGATATCCACCGATGACCCTGTCAAAGGAAAAGAACTATATCTATATATATTTGATGTGGGTGCGGTAGCACCTTAGCCCAACAAAGGAGCCTACCGGAAACTCCAGCGCTGCTGCCACACCGATGGTTCGTAACAGAGCCGGACATGACATGTTTCACACTGCCCGAAATGTAAACAACATGAAATCAACTGGAAGACGGTCGAACTTCTGGCAACCATTTCAGTGCTTGCTTGCGAGGGGCATTGTACCGAAGAACGGCTTCGTCAAGGATTTGGTTGCATTTTGGAGCGTCGTTCGAAGGAGACTGCTGTCCACTACCTTGGCCAGAGGGTCAGCCAACATCAGTGCGGTAGGCAACCACCTGAAGCGGACATGTTCTGCACAACGTCTTCCTGATCAGCGGCCTTTGCAAGGTCGCACGAAATTCTTCACAGGTTGGAATGGCTGTTCGAGTGAGGTCAAAAAGAGGTTTGCAATTAGGTCAGACATTATTCTAATTAATTCTTGTTTCTACTAGCTTCTTGTTACTACTAGTAAGGCACTTGTTACTAGTAGCTTTTTTGACACTACCCCAAAAAAGTCGAGCCAAGCCGACACTCCGGCTCATTGAAAAGGCTTCGATCTGACTAGTGAGTCGTGAAATCTTCGTTTCAAAAGAAACATGTGAGGACCTTGGCAGTTCCGATCTAAGCTTGTGGAGGTTGCATAAATGTGACCCTGAAACTGAAAGAGTTCAATTTCTTAGGACTAGCAAAAGATGCATCACCAAATGAATTGTAGCTCAAATCTTTGAGGGAATGGCTCTGTACCACATCTTAGTATCACTATGTCCTTGGGCTGCAATATCGCTGCAACTGCTTGGCAGGGACAATTGGCATTAGGCTTCGCCAAGTCTTGATACTATGTCGGGTCGAGTATGCGTGACTGCATATTGCAGGCTGCCGATCAGACCTCGTAGTTTCGAGAGTTCAGTGTCAGTCACGTTTCACTGAGGCTGTTCCCGATGATGCTTTCCAACCTCGATTGCCAGAATGCTGTGAACATACTTCTCCTGCAAAACGGAAATGGGTCCATCTGGATACTGCTCAAGATCACTGCCTGTGAATTTAAACTTGCGTTCCTTAAACTGTGCGTTTCTCAAGGTCTTTGGTTTTCTTCTGACAAATCTGGTCGCCACCTTTTCCATCCTCAGCATGAGACCCAAACCCCATGTAGAACAAAGTGGCTTTCAGTTTCTGATGTCAAACAGTGAACACAAGGCTCTAGAGGATGCGTCGCGAAACCTAACTGGTGAAGATGCTTTGCGCCCGTCACACTGCTAGTGGCCTCTTCCGGAATTGGGATCTGAGGCATCGACTGATGGAGGCGTGGCGTGGCTAAGTCAACTCAACGTCAACTCGACGTCAAAGAAGCAAACGCCCTGCAATGTTCAATGTCAACTCGCCACGATCACGCTCAATGTCACAAGGTCAACTGGCAACCGCAATGCTCAATGCTCAACGTCTCAAGGTCAGCTCACAACACCAAGCAACTACTCCAATGCTCAATATAGCAATGTCAGCACAGTCAACAAAACGCAGGCTCAACACTGTATGCCAGATGAACACGCTGCACGTCGTTTCTGGAGATTGAAAGTCATGCAAGCTTCAAAGCACGTTCGGCAACGTGCGTTCGCAAACAAGCTCACCACCCCGAGGTGAAGTGCAATAGAACCCTGGACCCCACTCTTGAGAGCACCTGGCTCCGCTACCAACCACCTGTCAAAGAAAAGAGTTGTATCCGATGTGGGCGCTTTTGGCACCGTAAAGTAAGGAGCCTCCCGTAAACTCCAGCGCTGCTGCCCCATGGATTGTTCCTCCAAAACAACAGGCTCCCATCGAGCGTCTATTGCGCCGGATGCGGTGACCCTCCGGGAGTGTTCTGTGATCATGACGAGCTGGGCATGACATGTTTCACAACACAATGATATACACATACATGCTCACGGTGTCAAGACCTTGTTTGAGGTAAGGAGAAGAAACAAGCGCTTGCAATTGTGAATGTTCGGTGGCTTCCGAACTGTGTGATCCATGATCCAATGTCACATTATTCTCGTTTGTTGGTGCTGATGAGGGCACAGAAGTGAAAGTCCTTCGTATTCCTCTTCAGACAACTCCGAATCTTGTTTGCGGATGGACACAGTTTGCAAGTTTGTTGAGAAAACACAAAGGAACAGCCAACATGATTTCTTACACTGCACCAAGTAAACCACGTGGAGTTATGAAACAAACTTGACCTGATGTGAAGGGCCGTCTCTTGCTTAGGCAAGATCCCGATGGCACTGCGGCCTTGACCTTGATCGAGTACTTTCAGATACCATTTCCGAGGCCTCTTATTGATGCAGTCCGCTAGTCCTTCAGTACTTTCATTTTTGCACTCGTGCATAGTGGCAGACCCACGGCCCACCGCCTTGCTTATTCAGCCTGCAAACTAAACATTTGCCGCGTTGTGTTCCCCGCAGCAGGGTCACGAGAAAGACAGTTGTAGACGTCAACGCCTCAGAAAAGTTCTCGACAGAGACGGAACTCAGAGTGACTTGCAGATTGCCCCTTCTCAACTACAGCGAGGTGAGACAAGAAAAACACTCTGTACTCCGTTTACATCTTATTTGATGTTATTTGCAAAAAAGGGCAGTTTCCCAACGAGACAGGTTGGCTTGTGCATCCAGATATATGATGGTCAGGTTGGGCTACGGTATCTCAAAGTCTTACTCCACTCCAATCTTGTGAGTTTAGCATTCTGCTGTCTTGTGAGCCGTTCTCTGAGTCTCTGAGCAAAGCCTTTGCCCGGCAAAAAGCAACCTATGCTTTTGAACTGGAAGGCTGGTCGTTTGGTAAGCTGCTAAGCTTCCTGTTACATCTGAATCAGAGTGTAGGCCATGAAACAAGCACGCCAGCTGCGTGAAGTTGTAGACCTCCTTTCAAAGTCGCTGAACCTGTTCTTACCTGACTTTTTGGTACAATACTCTTGGTTGATCGCCTTGGACAGGTGATGGCGAAGACAGGGTGCGGCGGGGTTGCTTCTCACGGCCCTCCTAAAACAATGGACTGTTTGTGTGTGTGTGTAACCCTTGGAATCACAGGGATCCTTTCGGATTGTTTTGTTTCGTTTTTGCTTCGGATTTTACAGCAGGGGGGCTGGTTGTTCATGCAAGTACCAGCCCAACGAAGAGGCTTGCATTGAACACTGATATCGGTGGGGACGCTCACCGACGTACCCGCATTTTTCCTTTTCCGGATGGCATGAGGCTAAGCCCAGAACCTCACTCGGCAGACAAGTACGACCGTCGTCACCCTGTCGCTTCGTCGTCGATTTGAGACTTTGGCCTCCGTTCCTCTTGAAGACCCCCAGGCTCTTTAGGGCTTTCCTGGATCTTTCAGGATTTGGGTTTCTTAGGCTGGCGTGTGGCACCGCTGTCAAGTCAGTACGCATATCCATAAGTGTGT